CAACGCCGTGAGTGTCACCTGGGCCACCACCCGGGGACATCTTCTGGGTCACCTGGAGAAGGTCCTGGTGGCACCTTGGGTTTGGAGGTCTCCATGGGCTGGTGTCCCATGGAGAATCCAGAAGTTGTTGGAGGTGGGTGGGGTGGGTTTTGATGGAGAAGGAGAAGTTCCTTCAGGAACCTCCAAGATTTCCATGGAGAACCCAAAGTTCTTCCAGGAACCTCCAAAATTTCCATGGAGAACCCAAAATTTCTTCTGGAGGACCCAAAGTTCCTCCAGGAACCTCCAAGATTTCCATGGAGAAACCAAAACTTCTTCTGGAGAACCCAAAGTTCTTCCAGGAACCTCCAAGATCTCCATGGAGAACCCAAAATTTCTTCTGGAGAACCCAAAGTTCCTCCAGGAACCTCCAAAACTTCTTCTGGAGGACCCAGGCCATGATTGTCCTCTGTCCCACCTGTCCCAGGTGATCAAGCAGCTGATGAAGAAGGAATTCACGCTGGAGTTCTCCAGGGACAGGAAGTCCATGTCGGTCTTCTGCTCCCCGGCCAAGGCCTCCAGAGCAGCCGTGGGCAACAAGATGTTCGTCAAGGTGAGGTCACCTGGATGATGTCATTTGGTGATGTCATCTGTGTCCCACCACTTCCAGACCGGGTCCCACCATCCCAGACCTTCTCAAAGTTGGGTCCCACCACCCCAGACCTTCTCAAACCCAGGTCCCACCACCCCAGACCTTCTCAAAGTTGGGTTCCACCACCTCAAAGTTGGGTCCCATCACCCCAGACCTCAAACTCAGGTTCCACCACTCCAAACCTTCTCAAACCTTGTTCCCACCACCCCAGACCTTCTCAAACCCAGGTCCCACCACCCCAGACCTTCTCAAACCCAGGTCCCACCACTCCAAACCTTCTCAAACCTGGTTCCCACCACCCCAGACCTTCTCAAACCTGGGTTCCACCACCCCAAACCTTCTCAAATCTGGTTCCCACCACCCCACCAAGTTGTCCCCAACTTCTCCACCCCCTCGTGTCCACCCCAGGGTGCCCCCGAGGGCGTCATTGACCGCTGCAACTACGTCCGCGTGGGGACCACCAGGGTTCCTCTGACCCCGGCGGTCAAGGAGAAGATCCAGAGCGTCATCAAGGAGTGGGGGACGGGCAGGGACACCTTGCGCTGCCTGGCCTTGGCCACCAGGGACACCCCACCCAAGAAGGAGGACATGGTCCTGGAGGACTCCTCCAAGTTCTCCGAGTATGAGGTGGGTGGGTCACGAGGTGGTCCTGGGGTGGGGTTGGGTGGTGGGAGGTCATTTTTGGGTGGTGGGACCTCATTGGGGGTGGTGGGAGGTCATTGGAGGTGGTGGGACCTCATTTTGGGTGGTGGGACCTCGTTTTGAGGGTTTGGGATTTTTGAAAGGGGTTCCTGGTCCTCTGTGACCTCCAAACCTCCAAATTTTTGGGTTTCTGGTCCACCACCATCTCCAAACCCCATTTCATGGAGGTTCCAGATCTTCTGTGACCTCCAAACCCCATCTCATGGAGGTTCCTGGTCCTCCACGACCACCAAACCCCATTTCATGGAGGTTCCTGGTCCTCCGTGACCTCCAAACCTCCAACCTT